ACCGACGCAGACAAAGTCAGCAAGATCACCCTCACACTGCACAGTAATCATAAATGAATATCCTTTGGACAAGACTTCATTATAAATCTCTGTAGCTTATCACTTGGTTAATGAAAGCATAACTCTTTCTTTTTTTTCTTTTTTTTTAAAGCAAACTTTGTCCCACCACTGTGGTAAAAGTACTTTCCACAAGTGAGCTCCTTTAATCATCAAAACAATCTCAGGAGAAAAACTACAATCCCATTTTAAGAATAGGAGACTGAAGCACAGAGAGGCAAAGTAACCTACCCAAGGTCACACAGCTAACAAGTGGAGCTGGAAGTTGAACCTAAGAAGACTCACCCCAAAAAGGCAATTCCCAACCACGCGGCTCCCATATCATGTTAGTGTATCAAGTCACAACTTGGGCTGGACAGCTATGAAGGGTAAGGATGTTGGCTGAGTGGGATCAGTTCACCCAAGGAGAGGCTTTTTCTGTTTCCCTCTTTTCTATCTTAATGCCTAAGTAACAACATCAACTCACCTAAGAGACTTTAGAAACAAACCAATCCCTCAAAATCGTAATCTCCTGGGCAGAGGTTTAAAAGGCATCTAAAGGGCTGCTATATAGAGGAAACAGTCCTAAGGGGCCCACACAGGTGGAGTGGCCCAGCCAAGCCCGTGGCCTGGAGAGCACCCCCACCAGCCAGGCAGAGGTTCTCCTGAGCAATGAGCACATGCCTACTTTTTACATCTAGGACACAAGCTTGGGGCACAAAGTCAGGAATAACAGGAAAGCAGCCAGTCCTGGGAGTCGGGGGGAGGTGGCCAAGGCTGCCTCGACCTGGGCAGGGACCCCAGAGAGATAACTGAGAGCCTCATGGTGTTTCCAAAGGAGCGGACACGAATATAAACCATATTCGGAAAGGGGGATCCTCAGGACTCCTGGCAATGTATCATCTTTAGGCCAACAAGTCTTGCCTCCAAGAGTGTGGGAAGTCGAAGATGAATCACAGGCCAGAGTCCACAGGCTGACCTCCACGCACACATCCCCCGAGACAGGGTGAGAAACGAAGGCAGGAAGCACTTGACTGAATTGGTTTTCCCATTTTTCATAAGAAACATTCAACGTAATAAAAAATAGCCACACTTTATTGACAATAATAGCTACCCTTTCTTTATTTCCTTACTATGTGCCAGGAAACTACTTTATCTCCGTTCCTCACAGTAACTCTGCAAGGCAGGAACTATCGCCTTCATTTTAGAGGAAAATGAGGCCCAGAAAGGTCATGTAATTAGCCTGAGGTCTCACAGCTAGGAACCCAGGTCTGTTTGACTCCAAAATTCATGATTTTTTCCATAATTGCTTTCACTGTTTCACATTACCATCAACCTCCAAAGTCCTCAGAACCAACTGCCTAAATACACACACACACACACAGACACATACACACACACTTCTTCCATTTAACTTTACCAGGCTACTGAAATCTTGAAGGCTGCCATGCACCCATCTCTCTGAATAGGCTGTGATCCTTAAAATCAGGCACCAAATCCCAGGCGCTTAGAATAAGCAAGTTTCCAAGAGAACACATAGCCCAGTCCCCTGTCACTTAAAAAGGTGAAGAGTCTGGGGTCTTAGGGCTGGCTAAGGCTGAACTGGGACCTGGCCCCTGGGCTGTCCCTTCCACTGCACCTCAACTCTGCTTCCCAGGGCCAGGGCCAGTGATGATGAATTCATTTCTGGGTGCTAGGAATACAGAGCTGAAAAGGTATTATTAATACATCCCTGGTCCCGAAAGGATCCTCGAAGCTGGTGGATGTAGCTGAGACAGCCCATGGGTAACTAAAGTGCAAGGCAGGAGTGGGGGAGGCATTCTGCGAATATGAAGAGAGACAAGCCGTGTCCAGCTGGAGGCCATGCGGAGATGCCATGGGGAGAAGAGAAATGAACCCATGCCCTGGGTGTACCGCAGGAAAGCGCCTCTCACCAGTCATTTCGTACCAAAACCCCCGCGGCAGGCAGAGCACTCATTTTATAGACCAGGTGGAGGCCACCAGCCTGAGGTCATGTAGTTAATGGGGGAGTCATGTGAAGTGCTCTGCCTGCCTCCAAAGCCCACGCTCTCTCCATTATAACGAACTTCAAACGCTGCTCTGAGGAACCCTGGTGGCTTAGTAGGCCAGGAAAGTGGCACTTGAGCCCTCACCCCGATTTCAACCCCAGTGGCTCTGCTGGGCATCTGTATTCATCCTGGGGTTCCATAGACGAGATTCCATTGGAGAGAAACTGCAGCAAACATGACAGAATCTGAAGCCAGGTATTATGATGTGCTCCCTGGCAGGCAAGTGGGTGCAGGCCTTGGAGTCAGGGCTAGGACAGAGGGGCCTGGGAGCCACACAGGGAGGAAGTGAGGGACAATGGCTATGCCAGCCAGGGAACACGCACTTCCCTCACTCAGGAGCTACGCTGCCTGCATTCAAAATCAGGCTGTACACCTGCTTAGTTTGGAGACCCTGGGCAAAGCAACCTAAGCCTTTGCTTCCTCAAGTTCAAACTGGAAGTCATATTGGTACCTACTTAGCGGGGGCCGTTGAGAGGATTACATGTTCAAAGATAAGGAAAGCATCTAGTACAGTCCCTGAAACCTTGTGCAAAGCCATTCTCATTAACTTGTTGATTACAGCAAGGCTAGTCATGGGAGGTAAAAGAGCAAGAAAAGAAATACTGTGATACTATAGGAGGAATTCTCAGGGCAGCTAAGAAATCCTCCTTGCCCCTTAAGTGCCCTGGTTCTGAGCTCTGCCTTGCATTCTCCTGCCCTTGATAAATGCGGGTGAGGATCTGTGGGATACGTACCTGACAGACGACAGAGGCTTAAGGGCCTCCATTCGCTGAGCTGTGGTCGTGTCCTACCACTGCTTGTCAGCTGCTTCAGCAAGCCCAAGAAGACTGGGTTTCAGGTGATGAGAGCCATAACCTCAAACCCCCAAACTAATTTACTGCCATTGCTCAGAGCAGATGGCTACAAAACCCTCGACTGTGCCCCTAAGCTTGACTTGCTCTTGAACCAAAAGGCCCAGGATAGAGGGAGGCATGTGTCAAGGGAGCCAAGCCCTAGCCCTAGAGGTCTCCCTCACTGGCTATGTGGGGTCTTGCCTTGGGAGGAATTCTGCAGGGCACAGTGGGGGTCCCGGGTCCCATTTAGGTTATTTCCATCGGAAACCCTGCCAGTGAATTAAGTTCCCAGGGAAGGTTTTGATGGCTTTTGGGATTTTTCCTCGTCTCGTTCACTGCTGTACCCCAGCACCCAGAACAGCAGCACATCCTAGGAATGAATGAACGGCGATGCCTTCCTGCATCTTCATGAGACAAACAGGAGCAGGCACCACAGAGCTTCCATGGTTGCTCCCTGACCTGCCAGTTGTGTGGGATCTTCTTGACACTGCTCTGCTACTGACTTCCCTGCTTGTCACCTCAGCTGGTAACATCAGCACCGCACCTCTGACAACCTGCTTGGGAGCGGTTTGGCCTTTTCTCTCCTCCTGGCGGACGGGAGGGTCATCTGCTACAGGGCATCTAGCAAGAAGGTCAGTGAGTGCCCAGCACACAACTTGCTCCTTTTATGCTCTATCTGCCAGAAATGAAAACGTGAGAGTGGGAAGCGCCCACAGAAGTCATCACTCGTGGAAGAGACAAGGAAACCAAACCTTGAGACATTTAGAAGTAGCCCCAAGTCACAGAGGTGGCTGCCAAGAGGGGCAGAAGACCTGCCCTCTCAATGAGAGCCAGGAGCTCTTTGTATGGCACTCACTAGGAGCCTCTGTGCCCATGCAGGTCAGAAAGTCTCAGGAGCCTGGATTCTTCTTTCTACATATTATAAACACGAAACACAACTACAGTACACACACAGACGCAGGCTACATACATAAACACAACACTATGCAAATATCATATACATATATACATATTGGTAACTGGTATTATGATATATATAACTATTCAATAGTCCCAAGTACCTTTACTGGTGAGATTAGATAAGCTCATCTCCTTTTATTTTATACCTATTTATTACAGAATGGTGATAACTGAAGGGCTAGGGGAAAAGAAGAAATCCTGAGTGTGAGAAAGGAGAAATATGTAATTTGTGAAAGTGTATTCGATATTATAATTGCTTTGACTTTTTTTTAGGTATAATGGTTAATGCACTTTGAAATTTAACACTAAAGAAGGGCATTCGGATTTTATGTTCGACAAAAGAGAGGAGACTTTAAACCAAAAGATTGGGAACTACTGTTCTGGAACTCAGAGCACATTACAGCTTTGGGAATCGGCTGGTCCAACAACACCCCGTTTGAAGAGAAGGAAACTTCCACTCAGGTTAAGTCACTTCCTACCCTCAGGTTGGTAGCTGTTCATCTGCTCCTAGGGGAGCAGCCGCGTGGACGTTAGCTGTGGTGTGCCCAAGGCACCAGCACTGAAGGAGGCCAGCGTTTGCTGTGGACCTGCTGAAGGGTTTCACACCAAGGATGTAAAGACAGAGTGAAAGCAAGTTCCCAAACATGCCTGTTTTTTTCCTTTTCTTAAAAAAACAAGCAGCATTCTTGGAAGAGGAGAAGCTGAACTCGTGGCTTTGTTTGCATTTCCTGAGGGCTGGCACCCCAGTGGCCCCCACGGTGGGCTGCCCTGGCCCCTCTCTCTCTCGGAAGAACCGAACATCTGGCTGTGAGGCGGCAGGAGTGGCTCCTCGAGCCACTGCTGTCCCTCCCCTTTGTCCCCTGCAAAGACCACCACCCATCTACCTAAACAACGGGACGTTTTCTGTCCAGTGTCCCCACAGCACTGAACATTTTGGCAGGAGGACTACCCCTGACTACCCCTAAGGCAGTCGGCTTGGAAGCCGAGGCAGAACCCCAGGGAGATTCACCCAGGGCCATGGGCTCAGACAGACCCAGGGCCAGGCCTCAGGGCAGGGCTCTTCTCAAATGGTGGACGTCGGCCAGTGCAGGAGTCCACTTACCGCAGTGGGACTGGAAGACCTGCGGCTTGACGACCTGGTTACAGGCGCTGCACACCACGAGGTAGAAGTCGTCGTGTGCTGGGTAGTGGCCAAACAAGTGCATATCTGTGGGGGGAAAGGAAAACAGGTTGTTTTGAAAAAGCAACCAAGTCTTAGAAGGTGGACGATTTCTTCTTGGAAAGTCCTCCAGGACAGATTTTCAAACAAGAGCAGCAGAAAGGCAATCATCTTTAGGAAAGGGAATGCAGCTTGTCCAAATGCAGCTCCTTACTCTCAGAGAAGCCCATGCCTTCAAGAATCCCTCCTCATTTCCTTGCAAATGGATGGCTACCACTGAAGGCTTAGTCCACGGCATTTGGGCTGCTCAGAATCACATGCCACAGAGAACCACTTTGTCCTGAAAGAGGGCCCCAGGGTTCACTGGGACCCAGTGAGGCTCCAGTTATTTTAGGATGAGGGGGAAGTTCACCCAAACCCATTTCAACATAAGCAGAGGCCTCTCTGGTGAGTGACAGGGTAAGGAGGGCTGGAGAGAGAAAAGGGAGTCATCCTGGTTTCGGCAGTTGCCTGGGTCCCCCCATCACCTGCAGAAGACGCCAGGGTAAAAGGAAGCGTCCAGACAAGTGGCTTGCTGGCTGCCATCATTATCCATTCTTTTTTTTTTTTTTAATCCATTCTTTACTTGGGATATATTTACCGAGTTCCTAAGTGTGCTGGGCACCAACCGTGCTGGGTGCCAGGACTAACCAGTGAACAAGAACAAGGGCCCTACTCTGCTGGAGCAGAAAAGAGAAGCACTGACCAGATTCACACAGGCCATCATGTGGGTGTGTCTGTGGTACCCACCGAGGAGGGGAGCAACAGGGTCCCACGAAAGCATGTGGCAGGCTGACCTAACCTTGACTGAAGCATTGGAGAGGCTTCCCCGAGGAGCGATTAGAGAAAGAAAAGGTCAGGGTAGAGGGGGAGTTTGAAGTCCATCATGGAAGGAGATTCTGTGTGTTGGAGGAAGCTCTTGGCTGAAACAGAAGAACAAGAGGGGAGCCCGGAAGGTATAAGCTTTGTGGATCAACATGGAGAATACCCCTGGACAGAGGAGCCTGGTGGACGACAGTTCATAGGGGTGCAAAGAGTCAGACATGACTGAGCACCTAACACACACACACACACACACACACACACACAGATTTTGAACCTGACTTTAGGAACAATGGGAAGCTACTGAAGGTTTTTAAGCAAAGTGGTGACAGAATCAAATACATACTGTTGAAAGATCAGTTATGTGGCCTATGAGACACAACAGCATATATATGTCCACACAAAAACCTGTTCATGCATGGTCATTGCAGTATTACTCATAAAAGCCCGTGGGTGGAAGCAACCCAGTTCAGTTCAGTTCAGTCACTCAGTCGCATCTGACTCTTCACAACCCCACGAACCACAGCACACCAGGCCTCCCTGTCTATCACCAACTCCCGAAATCTACTCAAACTCATCTCCATTGAGTCGGTGATGCCATCCAAACATCTCATCCTCTGTCATCTCCTTCTCCTCCTGCCTTCAATCTTTCCCAGCATCAGGGTCTTTCAAATAAGTCAGCTCTTTGCATCAGGTGGCCAAAGTATTGGAGTTTCAGCTTCAACATCAGTCCTTCCAATAAACACTCAGGACTGATCCCCTCTAGGATGGACTAGTTGGATCTCCTTGCAGTCCAAGGGACTCTCAAGAGTCTTCTCCAACACCACAGTTCAAAAGCATCAATTCTTTGGCGTTCAGCTTTCTTTATGTTTCTTTATGGTCCAACTCTCACAGCCATACATGCCTAATGGAAAAACCATAGCCTTGACTAGACGGACCAGTGTTGGTAAAGTAATGTCTCTGTTTCTTAATATGCTGTCTAGGTTGGTCATAACTTTCTTTCTAAGGAGTTAGTGTCTTTTAATTTCATGGCTGCAATCACCATCTGCAGTGATGTTGGAGCCCCAAAAAATAAAGTCTGACACTGTTTCCACTGTTTCCCCATCTATCTGCCATGAAGTGATGGGACCGGAGTCCATCTTAGTTTTCTGAATGTTGAGCTTTAAGCCAACTTTTTCACTCTCCTCTCTCACTTTCTTCAAGAGGCTTTTTAGTTCCTCTTCACTCTCTGCCATAAGGGTGGTGTCATCTGCATATCTGAGATTATTGATATTTCTTCTCCCAATCTTGATTCCAGCTTGTGCTTCCTCCAGCCGACCATTTCTCATGATGTACTCTGCATTTAAGTTAAACAAAGAGGGTGACAATATACAGCCTTGATGTACTCCTTTCCCTATTTGGAACCAGTCTGTTGTTCCATGTCCAGTTCTAACTGTTGCTTCCTGACCTGCATACAGGTTTCTCAAGAAGTAGGTCAGGTGGTCTGGTATTCCCATCTGTTTCAGAATTTTCCACAGTTTGTTGTGATCCATACAGTCAAAGGCTTTGGCATAGTCAAAAAAGCAGAAATAGATGTTTTTCTGGAACTCTCTGGCTTTTTTGATGATCCAGCAAATATTGCCAGTTTGATCTCTGGTTCCTCTGACTTTTCTAAAACCAGTTTGAACATCTGGAAGTTCACAGTTCACGTATTGCTGAAGCCCGGCTTGGAGAATTTTGAGCATTACTTTACTAAAGTGTGAGATGAGTGCAATTGTGCAGTACTCTGAGCATTCTTTCAGATTGCCTTTCTTTGGGATTGGAATGAAAACTGACCTTTTCCAGTCCTGTGGCCACTGCTGAGTTTTCCAAATTTGCTGGCATATTGAATGCAGCACTTTCACAGCATCATCTTTTAGGATTTGAAACAGCTCAAGTGGGATTCCATCACATCCACTAGCTTTGTTCATAGTGATGATTCCTAAGGCCCACTTGACTTCACATTCCAGGATGTCTGGCTCTAGGTGAGTGATCATACCATCGTGATCATCTGGGTCATGAAGATCTTTTTTGTATAGTTCTTCTGTGTATTCTTGCCACCTCTTCTTAATATCTTCTGCTTCTGTTAGGTCCATACCATTTCTGTCCTTTATTGAGCCCATCTTTGTGTGAAATGTTCCCTTGGTATTTCTAGTTTTCTTGAAAAGATCTCTAGTCTTTCCCAATCTATTGTTTTCCTCTATTTCTTTACACTGATCACTGAGGAAGGTTTTCTTATCTCTCCTTGCTATTCTTTGGAACTTTGCATTCAAATGGGTATAACTTTCCTTTTCTCCTTTGCTTTTCGCTTCTCTTTTTCTCACAGCTATTTGTAAGGCCTCCTCAGACAGCCATTTTGCCTTTTTGCATTTCGTTTTCTTGGGGATGGTCCTGATCCCCGTCTCCTGTACAAGGTCATCAACCTCCGTCCATAGTTCATCAGGCACTTTATCAGCTCTAGTCACTTGAATTTATCTCTCACTTCCACTGTATAATCGTAAAGGATTTGATTTAGGTTATACCTGAATGGTCTAGTGGTTTTCCCTACTTTCTTCAATTTAAGTCTGAATTTGGCAATAAGGAGTTCATGATCAAAGCCACAGTCAACTCCCAGTCTTGTTCTTGCTGACTGTATAGAGCTTCTCTTTGACTGCAGAGAATATAATGAATCTGATTTTGGTATTGATCACCTGGTGATGTTCATGTGTAGAGTCTTCTCTTATGTTGTTGGAAGAGGGTGTTTGCTATGACCAGTGCGTTCTCTAGGGAAAATTCTATTAGCCTTTGCCCTGCTTCATTCTGTGCTCCAAGGCCAAATTTGCCTGTTACTCCAGGTGTTTCTTGACTTCCTACTTTTGCATTCCAGTCCTCTATAATGAAAAGGACATCTTTTTGGGTGTTAGTTCTAAAAGGTCTTGCAGGTCGTCATAGAACCATTCAGCTTCTTCAGCATTACTGGTCAGGGCATAGACTTGGATTACTGTGATATTGAATGGTTTTCCTTGGAAATGAACAGAGATAAATCATTCTGTTATTTTTGAGATTGCATCCAAGTACTGCATTTCAGGCTCTTTTGTTGACTATGATGGCTACTCCATTTCTTCTAAGGGATTCTTGCCCACAGTGGTAGATATGGTCATTTGAGTTAAATTCACCCATTCCAGTCCATTTTAGTTCGCTGATTCCTAAAATGTTAAAGCAACCCTGATACCCATCAACTGTTGAACGCATAGATGACATGTGATATATTCACACAATGGGATATTATTTGGCTATAAAAAGAAGTGAAGTACTGATGCCTGCTATAATATGTGTGCATGAATATTCAATTACTTCTGTCCTGTCCCACTCTCTGCGACTCTGTGCACTGAGCCTGCCAGGCTTCTCTGTCCACGGGATTCTCTAAGCAAAAATATTTGAGTAGGTTGCCATGCCCTCCTGCAGGGGATCTTCCCAACCCAGAGATCAAATTCATGTCTCCTGTGTGTTTTGCATTGGCAGGATGATTCTTTACCGACTGAACCACCTGGGAAGCCCCACTACAAATATGGATGAGCCTTAAAAACATATGCTAAGTGAAAGGAGCCAGTCACAAAAGGCCACATATTATATGATCCCCTTTATATGAACCGTCCAGAAGAGTCAAAACCACAGACAGAGAGAGGAGATTAGTGTTTGCCTTGGGCTGGGGGAGGGGCTGGAGGGAACTGGAGGAGAACTGCTAAAGGTTTACAGGTTTCTTTTGCAGATGATACAAACATTCCCAGATTGATAGCGGTGATGGCTGCACAAAGCTGTGAATATATTACAAACCACTGAACTGTATGCTTTAAATGAGTAAATTGTATGATACATGAATCATATCTCAGTAAAGATGGGGTGGGAGGTAGGGAGATCAGTTTGGAGGAAACCAGTGGTCAGAGCCTCCTCGTGGGCTGCTGGGTGGAGATAGAGCCCTGAAGGGCACTCCCCCTGCCTTTCCTTAGCTGACTGGCTCCAGGACCACTGAGAGGAGGGTGGACAGAGGAAATAAAAGACACAGTCTTTATGAAAGTGCTTTGCCTCACACATCTGAGTTTCCTCTCCCCACCCGCACGCCTTCATTTTCTCGACTCAACCTGTGTTTTTACCGAAAACCATCAGACACACCATCATTCTCCTAGCTGCAG